TGTATATATATATATACACAACAGATTCAAAAGATCCAGAAAACTGGCTCAAGATCTACGGTAACATTTTTAGAGAAAAACCAAAAAGTTTGTTTAACTCCTAGGTATGACTTTCAATATTTCATTGCATTTTGGTTTGTGGCAACAAGCAAAATAAACTGTAAGCTAAGCAGCAAAATCAAGATTTCTTTCCAGGGACTGAGTAGGTGTGATTTTTTTTCATTCTTCTTCTCCTAGTGATGGCTAACTTTTCGGTACTGAGTGCCGAAACGAGAGTGCATGTCTGCACGCCTGTGTTGGAGCACTGGAACCTGGAAGAGAGCGGCACATGGTTGCCAGCTGCTCCTCCAGTTCCATCGCGCACATGAGCGCCAGACAGCTGGTCTTCTGGATGGCACGCATGCCCACAGAGAGGGTTCTGTGTGCCATATCTGGCACATGTGCCTTAGGTTCGCCATCACGGTTCTAGTCTATAAAATTTTAACCAATTAATGAACTGACCCTTCCACCTGGAACTTTTCACAGCACTAAGACATTATGAATTGTGGCTGCATTAATCAATCTCTGGGCTAGTGCAGAATTTATTGTATGGAGAAAGTGCTACTTTCTAGTGCAGAGGGAGAGCTGGAGAGTAGAATAAAGAAAAGAATTCAGAAATTTTATAATTCAAATCTAAACTGAATGGATTAACAATTTCCTCAAATTGTTTGATATGCTCTTCATTTTACAATTTGAAAGTGATTTTCAAACTTACAAATATGAAAGTCAAAGGGATGCAGAGCAATATTTTAAAACCACTTAAAACACCAAGATAAATCCTTTGCAACTTTGCTTTTTTGCTTTCATTATGTCCCATAAAGTTTTTATTTTAAAAAAAGCCACTTACCTAATTCTGGTGCTTTACTTAGCACAAATGCATACGCCCAGAATTTGCTGACTGGTCCATTGTAAAAACTCTGATCACAAACAGATTGCTTCAGTCCTTTGGTCATCAATATATACACCATATAAGCACCCGTTCGAAGAGCACCAAATATACTTTGTGACCATAAAGAGAAAAACAAACAATAGTCATTAACTGCAAGAAGCAATGGAGGCAAAATTTACAGACACTATTAATGTGCAGAGTTGGTCATGTTTTTTTCTTTAAATTTTTTTTTCACTATATGAAAGAATGAGGGACAAACAGAACACTTAAACATTATCTATATAAAAGCAACCCTAACTGAATCACTAATTGAGGAAGCAAGCAAGAACAGAGGAAAACATCTACTTATGAACTGTTATTTTTTTCCAGTGGTATTATACAAATGTTAGTTCTATGTTAGTTCTACGAGACAACCAATTTGTCTGAATATTTTGGATTCACAATTATAGCCTTCTCTGTATATACCAAATACAGTATATCCAGGCTAATACAGATGACTTCTAGTTGGCAGCAAAGTGATACTGAAAACCTGTAGTGGCTGTCCTGATTTTTGCAGTCCACATATGGCACCCTCTCTGAGTCTCCAAGGACAATGATGAATTAAAGAAAATCCCCAGCCAAAACGTGGGGAAGGGGGATTCAAAGTTGTTGAGGAAATTTAGAAACTTAGACCTAAATATATATACCCATAAATCATCAACAATAGTTTTTAAATCTAGTCAGGATTAGGTTTTTGTGTAGTAAAGTCCAGTGGTGGGATTCAAAATATTTTACTAACAGTTCTGTGGGCGTGGCTTTGTGGGTGTGGCATGGCTTTGTGGGCGTGGCAGGGGAAGGTTACTGTAAAATCCCCATTTCCTCCCGATCAGCTGGGACTTGGGAGGCAGAGAATAGACAGGGGCGGGGCCAATCAGAGGTGGTATTAACTGGTTCTCCAAACTACTCAAAATTTCTGCTCCCGGTTCTCCAGAACTGGTCAGAACCTGCTGAATACCACGTCTGGTGAAGTCAGGTGCAAAGAATCAGGAACATTTGTAAGGTTGCAGCATAGAAGATTTATTCAAGTCTAAGAATCCAGTCAAGTACTAAACTGGTACCAGATAAGGGTCAAAGCAATTCAGGAAGGGTTGGACTTGGAGTGCTTGTGAGAATGCAACAACTCTAAACTGATGAGGCCTTTAACTCTCCCGCCATAGCTCTGGCTACTCTTTTCCCACAAGAAAGGCCTCACCAACTTGTTATTATATTTATATAAGAGTCAGCACCCTGATTAGACAACCGTAAACAAAAGAGAGAATTCTTATCAATGGCAGACTAGTAACAATATTCCAAGCAATTTTACTGCATACATAGTGAAAGAGCAAAGGAAATGCAGCACACATACCATTTCTGTAAAATTTCAATGCAATCTCTGTAATGAATCCAGCATTATAAATGAAACTGTCTCTTAATTTTATTATTGCAATAAGAAAAAAGAATCAATAACTTTACACTCCCCTTTCTCTCTTTTTTAATAAGAACTATCCATCATCCAAGGCTATTCCAGTGGTAACCTGAGCTGCAACATTGGAAAACCCAGACAATTCGTTTCATCCAAGATTGCAAGGCATGGTGAGTAACTTGCAGATAATTTACAATTTGGTAGTCATTAATTAAATTTCAAAATTTCATAGCGTATATGTGGTTTTGCATGAATTCTTTGGAGACTACATTGCATATACGTAAGCATATTTTAAATAAGTCAATCATTCAAATTTATATTGCTCATGAACCTTCACAGCAGGGGTGAGTTCCGGCAGTCGCTACTGCTGGTTCGCTCATGGCCGCACCATTGTATAAAGCTACAATTAATTTTAAAATGAATAATCTAAATGCTATAAATAGATAGGATAGGTAAGTATAAAAGGAACATAAGTAATATTAGAATTTATAAAACAATACAAGAATGTAAAGCTCTGCTAAATTATATTAAATCTAATAGTTGCTGAACCGTTTCTTGGTTTTGATGGGATTATAGTCCAACCAATGAAAATAAGGAAATAGCAAAATAAAACATTATAATAGTATGTGTATAGTTAAAAGCAGAAGAGAAAAAGGAGGAGGGGGAGAAGGAATGGGAAATAAAAGGGAAACTATACTGAATTATAGGAGTCTACTTAAGTTTCAGCATTATATCACTTGGAGGTTGTGTTTATAATTAATTATATCCCTGACACAGAACCAAGTTACATTATCGGAAATCCAGATTAACGAGTCAATTAGCAAGAAACTAAGGTAATCAGCTTCTGGACTCTAATTATTATGTTATACATGGGGAAACATACATATCTCGTAGATATATATAGTTCTAGGTTGCATTAACAGAGGGATAGAATCAAGATCACGTGAAGTGTTAATACCACTTTATAATGCTTTGATAAGGCCACATTTGGAAAACTGCATCCAATTTTGGTTGTCACGATGTAAAAAAGATATTGAGGCTCTAGAAAGAGTACAGAGAATAAAAACCCAAGTTGATTAAGAGTCTGGAGGCTAAAACATAAAGAACGGTTGCTATGATTTTGGTATGTCTAGTTTAATGAAAAGAAGGACTAGGGGTGACATGATAGCAGTGTTCCGATATTTCAGGGGCTGCCACAAAGAAGAGATGGTCAACATATTCTCCAAAGTACCTGAGGGCAGGACAAGAAGCAATGGGT